TCTTTTCTTCTTTGTTAGCTTGACTAAGGATTTATCAATTGTATTTAATTTTCAAAGAGCAAATTTTTTGTTTCACCACTTCTTTTCAATTTCATTTATTTTGGCTCTGATTTTAATTATTTCTGTCTTCTTCTGGTTTTGGTGTTGGTTTGTTATTCCTTTTTGGGGGCTTGGGATGTAAAGTTAAGTTTTTTTTAATTTGGTGATTTTCTATTCTTTAAAGGAATAATCTAAATGCACTGAAATTACCTCTTAGAATTTCCTTTAGAGTTCCCTAGAGATTTTGATATGGTTTGTTGCTCTTCTCAAGAAGTATCTTCTTATTTCATCCTTGATTTTTTTTCAGCTATCCTTTGTTCACTCGATAGTGTATTATTTAGTCTCCAGGATTTAAAGGAGCTTTATTTTTATTTTTTCATTGATTTATAAGTTTTTAAAATTATTTTCTGAAAACATGAAATGTATTTGCTCTGTATTATTTGTATTTGCTACAAATTGCTTTGCAGCCTTACATGTGATCTATTTAGAGGATGAACCAAGTGCTACTGAGAAGAAAGTACATTGAGTACTTTTTGTATGAAATAGTTCTCAAATGTATTTTATGTCTTAATTATTAATTGTATTTTTCAGTTCTATAGCTTTTTTATTTACTTCTGTTTTGAAGATCTAGCATTTGATGAGAGAAGTAGGTTGAAGTCACAAAATTTTGTTGTACTGTGATCTATTTGATTCTTGAGATTGTAAAAGGTTTATTTCATGTATATAAATGCTTCATTGATTTAGGTATAAATATTTAAGATTGTTTTGCATTTTTTATGTACAACTTCCTTAAGCAGTAGAGAATGCCCCTTTTTGTTCTTTCTGATTGATTTTGAATAAAAATACACTTAATCTGAGAGAAGAATAGGAACAGGAACCTCTCCTTGATTTCAAAATCCATATGAATGTTAAGGTTTTTGCCATCTTTTCACTTTAAGTCTGTTGATGTCCTCCTTGCCTATTAGGTAAGGCTCTTGAAGACAGCTTATTGTTGGGTATTGTTTTTTAATCCAATCTTCTAGCCTATGACTTTTGATTAATGAGTTTAGGCCATTTACATTTAGT